TTCCTTGCCACCATTGATCAAAGGTGATAGTCTTCAGTTGCTCCACTGGATCACCATTCTTTTAAGATGATTGAGTATAAATTTCCAGTCATCATCACAAAGTTTATTACATTCATACCCATTTGCTCTAGCAGCCTCTAATAATATTAGAGCTTTTCTGTTTCTCATGAATGTTTCAAATTAATTTTGGATAAGATATGATTGTGGTTGTTCAATTTGTGTAAAAGACTGTGCTTCAGATCTCTGATCATGTATCATTTGACGTGGTATTAACATTGCAGAAGTCTCTTTGAGTCTGAAAAGATGAACTTTACCTTTTTGTCAGAAATGAGTTAATCTGCTCAATACCACTGTTGGCTTTTCTTGGGTGACTGCTTCATCAATTGTAGGTCTAGATGATGCTTCTGCTGTATTGGAGTTCTGCCTCTTACACACATACAATTTTAACTTGGTAACGTATTAGACCATGTCCAAAACACTTTATGTGGATATTTTGATAAATTCTTTGTAACTCAGAAGAATAACCAACAGTTTAAAGTCTCTCTCAATTTGAAATGGCAACCCAATTAAATTATTAGAGAATCTCTCACATGCCTATGTTACTATTATTGTTTCTTTCTCTATGGCTGTATAACATTGTTCTGTTTCAATTAAGGTCCTGGAAACAAAGAAGACAGTGGGGAATCCTCTCAAAGCATCAGTGATTGCAGCTAAGTTTGGAATCAGTTTCCCAACCTGACTGACCGACTATCCCAAGGAATCTCATTAACAAGCCTCGTTTTTGGAAAATCACTGATGGCTTTTGTTTCTTTGAGGGTCAATCATAATGTCTTTTTATTGTTTTGTGTGTGCCAAGAATTTAATGACAGTTGTGCAAATTCACATTTTTATCTTAGGGAGAGACCTGCTTTTTGTAATGCTTTTTTGGAACTTCTCAGTCTCTGTGGTCACGGTGCTGTCTTGTAGTGCCATGGATGAGTATGTCATCCAAATGACAAATTACTCATTTACTCTCTTCAGGAGTGTTTGACTTGGTCCTCTTGAAAATATCTGGTTTAATGTGATACCAAAGATGAAAGCAGAATGAGCTGAAAAGCTTAATTAAAATTGTTAAGAGATAGTAAGAACTGCCGATGTTGGAGTCAGAGATAACACAGTGTGGAGCTGGAGGAATACAGCAGGCCAGGCAGCATCAGAGGAGCAGGAAAGCTGACGTTTCGGGTCTGAAGAAACGGTTGGGGGGGTGGGGAAGCTCTTTGTTTTATTCCTTGTCGAAAGTTTTTGCGAAAACCCAGTACTATTTAAAAACTTAATGAATAAGGTGCTGTTGACAACTTTTGCCAAGCTGTCAGTCACTGAGGGCACAGACGGATTTCTCTCTGGACTACTTTATTTAATTGCATCAAATGTACACGGGCTGAGTGAATCATTTGGCTTAGGAACTGTCATGAGTCCCAGAGAGCACCGGGTTGGCTCCGTGATGGTGATATAAAAGCTTTATGTACATCCTGCCAAGTTCCTCTTTAACTTTCTCCAGGAATGGGAGTGACAATGAAATCTAAAATCTAAATTTAAATCTGGGAGTGTATAGACTTATAGGCTTAGCATCATGAAGCAACATATTACAATGTTCATTTTTGACTTTAGCAAACTCCTGAAAGAGCTGTGTGAACTATTTGTGGGATTCTGTCCCCCTGTCCTGCTGGTTACTTCCTTTAGAAGTACCAATTGGATACATACATTTCTTTTCAGTAAAAAACGTCTTTTGATTGTGCAAGATATAATGAATCTCATTAATCTCTTGCCCCCTGTAGCCAGGTACGGTGGTAATCTTTTAATTTGGAGATCTATACTGCCTTGGCTTTGTAATTTAGATGGCTGAATGTCTGCTGCCTTGAACCACTTCAAATGGTCATCAATACAAGAATACCGGCATCAGTGTCAAATATGAACGTAGTTTTAAAGCCTTTACTTTGTAAAATAACTGACCAAAATGTTTTCTTTTTTTCACTTCCAAGGATATCTCTACTCTCACTTCTTTATTTCCAATTTCCTGGATTGTCTGCTTTACAGAGGGAATCATTCTCTTGCTTTCTTCTTTTGCGTGCATACTTAGAATTGCATAACAATTTGAAGTGTCCTGTCTTTTGTCATTGGAAACATTCTGCTGGACAATCTCAGGCTACTGTTTAGTGCCACAATGAGAGCACTTTAAAATGTCTGCGGATAGGACTCCCATTCTTTGTCCGCTTTTGGAGGGCTTCTGAATGGACTGAACTACCCTTATTGGGCCCATCCAACTAACAAATTCATTTACAGTCTCAATATTTACAAGGATATGGTTTGTTTTTGCACCTGAAGTTCAGCCTATCTAGTGTATTTAAAATGTTTGAGTGTTAGGTTGTCTTTCGTCTGCAGCAAATCTGACAACTTTCCATCTGTGCCAATGAATTTGTCACAAGTGAGCTTGTCTTTCAAAGTACCATACCTGTAGCAGCTGACTAGCCAAATTGGGATCTGGAAGAAACAATTCTCTGGTCATTGATGACTCTAATTGCATTCGCTCAATTACAAAGTTATGTTTTGGATTGAAATATGTACCAACTGCTTTTATGACAGCTTCAATATCTAAGATTTCTCTTCAACCCTCATCTCATCAGAATATCATGAGTAATGGATCCCACTTGCACACAGGAATGTAATAACCTGGTACCTTTGCTCTTTGGTGTGCAAATACAGCACTGTTTACTTCCTCCAGAATTGTTTTTCAACAACTCCCAATGCTGATCTCCCCGTGGACATTTGGCTTATTAAACAGCTGCAGAAGAGACAATGACTGCTCGACTAGTTTTGATATCGCTACCAATTTGTGTGCCTCAAGTCGTCTTCTTCAGATTTCGAAGTTTTGTCGATGGCATCATTTTATTGTTAGATTAATATCACAACCGTTGTTATCATGGTTTTTGGTTGGGTTTCACTTTGCATAATATTTGAACATCTCATCAGATGTAGTGTCATAGAGTTGTACAGCATGGAAGCAAAGCCTTCAGTCCATGTCGACCAGATATCCCAAATTAGTCTAGTGCCATTTGCTAGCATTTGGCCCTAATCTCTCTAAACCCTTCCGATTCATGCACACATCCAAATGCTTTTAAATGATACAATTGTACCCATCTCCTCTGGCAGCTCAGTCCATACACACACCACCCTCTGTGTGAAAAAGTTGCCGCTCACCTTAAACATTTCCCCTCTCATCTTAAAACTATGCCCGCTAATGTTGGACTCCCCTATCCTGGGAAAAAGACCTTGGCTATTCACCCTCATTATTTTATAAACCTGTATAAGGTCACCCCTCAGCCTCCAACACTCCAGGGGGAAAAAAGCCCCAGTCTATTTAGTCTGTCCCTGTAGCTCAAATCCTCCAATCTCACCCTTTCAAGTTTAAAAACATTTTTCCTACAGCAGGGAGACCAGAATTGAACACAGTATTCTAAAAGTGGCTTCACCACTGTCCTGTACAGCTGCAATATGACCTCCCAGCTCCGATACTCAATGCACTGAACAATGAAGGCAAGCATACCAAATGCCTTCTTCACCACCCTATCTACCCGCAACTCCACTTTCAAAGAACTATGCACCCTCACCCCTAGGTGTCTTTGTTCTGAAACACTTCACAGGGCCCTGGTTTGCCTTACCAAAATGCACGACCGCACATTTATCTAAATTAAACTCCACCTGCCACCCCTCAGCCCATTGGCCCAACTTATCAAGGTCCCATTGTACTCTAAGATAAACTTCTTCACTGTCCACTACACTAACAATTTCGGTTTCATCTGCAAACTTACTAACCATACCTCCTATATTCACATCCAAAACATTTATATAAATGATGAAAAGCAGTGGATGCAGCACCGATCCTTGTAGCATACCACTAGTCACAGGCCTCCAGTCTGAAAAACTACCGTCTACCACTGCCCTCTGTTCCATATCTTCAAGCTAGTTTTGTATCCAATTGGCTAGATTCAAAGAGTGACTAAGATCTGACTCTGGCAGATTTCTGAAAAGCTCTTTAATTTATGCCAGAGTATATTCTATACTTCAAGGTAAGACTGCTGCTGTCACCACTGCATAACAATATAAATCAGTATCTCATTACATCAGTATTGTAGGGTATATGGATCCAGTATTAATCTGTTGTCACCTTGGAAAAAAACAACACAGCACTGGAAGGAAGTCCGTCATGGGATGAGGGCATTGCCAGCTACGTCAACATTTACTGCCGTAGTGATTGTAACTAAGTCAGCCAAGTGGACCTCATAGAATGAGTTCCCTGATTGGGCCTGTCGATCTGGTCTAATCAGGGCGCCCTGGCTGACGATAAGTACAGGATTGTCAGTCAGTCTGTCCACCCTGAGAGATGGCTGTGAGGGAGCTGGATCAGTGTCAAGGACTTGCTACCTGTAAATAAAGGGTGACTTGGTGACTTGGTGACAGGATACTGACCTCTGTGGAGTTATTTCATTTGCCCAGAAAGTGCCTAAGAAGAAGAAAGAGCAAGGTAACAGGCCAAATCAGAACAAATGCCACCTGAACGAAAACAGTACCAACAGAATGGTCCGACTACTGCGTATCATGGGGTTTTTAACAGCAAAAGGCGATAGGACCTTCAGTTCATCATGTTCACATCAGACATCAAACATGCAGCTACTTTAACGCCATAGCCCCAAGCCTTGCATACTATATCACTTTAAATGTCCATTAAATACTTCGTCACTAACGAAGGGAAGAGTTACTTCTTACAAACGGCCCCATGGACCAGTCTCGAACGTCAGAGCCAGAGAAGACAGCATGATGATGTCAAACCCATGACGATCCCGATCACGTCGATGGTGTGGTCGTGATGATGCAGTGGCCGGCCGGTGTGCGTGATGACGTCAATCTTTTGACGGTTTCGATTACGTCGACTGGTGTGCGCGACGCCGTCAGGCGCAGGTCGTCGCCGACGCCGCCATCTTGGCCGGTGTAGGATTCCCGAGTATTCCTCACTTTTTTCCTCTCTGACTGCCTGTTTGTTGGTGGGGTCGGGGTGGGCTGAATAAAAAAAAAAACACCCCCCCCCCCCCCCCCCCAACCCCCAAACCTCTCTCATTCTGCCCCGGTAGGAGAATGTCCGCCTTTTCTGAGTCAGCTCTGGAAAAGAAGCTGGCGGAGCTGAGCAACTCGCAGCAGAGCGTGCAGACGCTGTCCTTGTGGCTGATCCACCACCGCAAGCACTCCAAGACCATCGTGCTGGTGTGGCACCGAGAGCTCAAGAAAGGTGAGCGCGGCCGGCGCCTGGTACCAGGGCACAGGATACACACACGCACAGGATTACACCCAGCAGGGGCATACTCTCACACAAATGGAGAAGCCAGGCTTCACCTTCCATTCCATCAGGCCTTGCCTCGGCGGGGTGGGAGGGGAGGACTTAAGTTTTGGGATTCTGCTTTATGTACATCGCAGGAGAGGAATGAAGGTGGTGTTTTCTTTTGTATCGTTACTTTTATATTTCCATACATCTGTTAGGGTGGTGACTGCAGAGTTTTTTTTCCCTCAAAGACATGGAGCGTTTGCACTACAACAGGGGAAATTATCTGTTTCAGCTGAGTATGAAATTAGTCTTAGTCTTCGAACACAGCTCCTTTGCCTTCTCAGCATTATGTATCCTATCAAATTACGGACATATTTTGGAGATAACTTTGTTATGCCATGGTTTTCTATAGTTTTGCATTCTTGTTGCCAAATTTGATGCTAGCAAGCTGAAGTTACTTTCTTTGTGGTCAAGTGATTATTTTGTTTCATGATGTAAATTTTAAAACTGGAGATCTGTATTAACTTGTACAGGTGAGTTCAATTAATCATTTAAGCCTGTAATATCCCAAGAATGTCATTGTCCAAAAAGTTTAATTTGAAACATTAACATTTAATTTTATTCTTTGGTGCTAATGAATAAACCAAGACTTAATGTCATCCAGTTAAAGTTCGAATGACTATTGTCTGACAGGAGAAGTGCTTTGCAATGCCTGTTTGTTGAATCCTAAATACAGTTTTAATGTGGATTCAATTTTTCTTTACTACTGAGAAAAAGGACCAGCAAAATCTATGCAGATGGAGTTGTCAGTTTGATTTGGATCACAGATTAAGAAGTTGAAGTTCTAGTTGCCATTTAGAGGGGACATTACGCTTTCAAATGCATATTAAAATTAGATTAACCATACTAAAATTCTCAAGATAGCTGTAATGACCACATTGCATCATCTGTCTGTAGAAGATAAGGACTAAATAATTCCTCTTGAAAAGCCAAACTAGCATTGCTGAAAAAGACCTTTTAAAAACTGTATGAAGAATATGAAGGGAAGAAAATACTTTATTTGCTTATAGGATGTGGGTGCCCCTGGCATTTATTTCCCATCCCTAATTGTCTAGATTGCATTTAAAAATCAACCACATTGTGTGTCTGGAATTCCACATGAACCGGGTAAGGATGGTTGATTTCCTTCACTGAACAATTCTGGTGAACCAGACAGCTTGGTTGCCGTTTAGTGCTTTCTATTCCAGACTTTTTCCAGTGGAGAACAAAGCTGTGAAAAGTAAGATTTGAGAGACAATTTATCTTTTTTTTTTCCCCCAGCAACGTGAGACTTTCTTTAAATTCTCAATTGAATTTGTTCTGGTGTATCCAGTTTAGTCAAAATAGTAGCTTGTAACACCTGTTGATAGTCTCCCTCTTGCTTGTTTGCTCACTTGGCAGAAAAGCAGCGATGTTGTAAATGCGCCTAAGTTTCAGAAGTTGAAAATTGGAGCTGATGTGGATTGTGTTATGCTCGGCCTGCTCTATCCAATGTGTCCATAAAAGAACGTTTGTGGCAGAATGAAAACATCTGAATTTTAAATATGTTAATCTTGAAATGTCAGTGAATTCCTTCCCTTGAGAGATGAAGGTGGGATTTGGGGTGGGCATCTGGTAGTCGTTGGAGAAAGTCACCTGTTAGTGCAGAGAACGAGAATTTTTTTGTAAAATTCTTATGGCATGTAGATGGAACTGGGTAGTCAGCATGATCTTGAAATAGTATGTGATCTAAGCTCCTTTGCGATATTCCAAAGATTAATATTTTAATTCATGTTTTTCTGGCAAACTTTTTAATTATCTCATTAAAACGGTGTTCTACAACTCAATTTTTGTAACATGGTTGAGTACTTCCTTGGGTAGGAAATGAGGATAGGCACTTGGTATTTCAAGATGAGTGGAGATGATTTTGGATAAATAGGTGAATGTTTTGACTTTCAGTAAATGAGGGGAAATTAGAGATTGACCATTAAGATTGCAAGTTTACTCGTTGACAGCATCTAGCTGTTGTCTGATAGCGGCAGGGCGAAAGTACTAGAAACTGAATGCAAGTAGAACAGTGAATAGACTCAGCTGTAGATTGCTGCTCCAGCGATATGTTTGCAGTTACTTGCTGATTTTTGTATACAAATTGGGAATATGGTAGCCTGAAACTTGGCATGCTGCATCATGGCTAACAGCAAATTTGACCTCCGCAATTTAAGTATTTTTACAGCTTTGACTCTGATAACATTCTTGCTCAGGTCAGCCGGATCTTGACTGTAGCTCCCTGTTAGGGTTTGAGCATGTGATCTGGCAGAAGCTATTAAGGGAATGCTGCATTGTCAAAATTGCAAATGTTTAGGTGTGTTGCTAAACTGAAACTCTGTTAAAATGGATGGAACAGAACTTATTCAAAAAAATGGGAGTTTTTCTACACCTTAAGCATTTATTTCTCAACTAATCAACCTGCCATTCATGCCCTAATCTTGGATTCTTGTGTAAAATTGCACCACTTTCTGTAATGTAATTTTAATCTTGATTAAATGAGACCGGAGTGTTTCAACATGGAATAAATAGAATGGTACATGCAGTTCCAACAGCACTTGAGGTTCAGCACCATTAAGGATAAAACAATGTGCTTGATTAGCACCCCATCTAAGATAAACTATCAACACGCTGTCCCTCCCCAGAGACAGAGCAACAGTGTGTACAGTCTACAAGATGTACTGCAACAACCCACCAAGAATCCATAGACCGCACTTTCTAATCCAGTGACCTCCATCATCAGAAGGACAAGGACAGCAGATACCTGGATGCACTTGGAACTGTTATTTTCCTTCACTGTCGGAGTCAAAATCCTAGAATTCCTTCCTACCAGCACGCTGGGAGTATCTATACCATGTAGACTTTGGTTCTAGAAGGCAGCTCACCAGTATCTTTTTCAAACGTATTAAGGATTCGGAATAAATGACAGCCTAACAAGTGCTGCCCACGTCGTGTGAATTAATTTTTGGAAGTAGCATTTTCAATCATTTATTATGTGTGGAATTGCCTTGTATGTTTTAGGATCTTATTGAAGGGTTGTTTAACTTTGAATTTTTTCTTTGTCTTCTCATTCCTCCTGACTGTCTTCAATGAAAAATATAATTTACCTTTTGCTCATTGTGTAAAGATTGCTCACGTTGGAGCAAGAACACTTTTCAACTTGCACTCAGTTTCAAAAGATGTTGGATTTTCGGACACTCAGAATATAAAAAGAGCCATTTGACCCAACAGTTCATGTTCTTTTGACAAAGTTGTCCGATTAGTCCACTGTCCTGGTCTATCTTAGCCCTTCTGTTTTTCCTCATTGTTTAAGGCCTTGTACCTTTTCTAAAAGTTACTTTCACATCTGCTTTCACCTTAAGGCATTCCCTGATAGCATTTTTTTTAAAAATGTCACTTCACCTAATCCTGTTTTTGTTTATTTAAATTTGTAATCAACTGGGTGATAATTCTGTTATGCCCAGCTATAGCTCATTTTAAACCCATCTTTTTTGTTTCTTTAATTGCTCCTTTATGTTTTGCGCTATCATTCTTTTTGTGCTTTTAATCTATCGTGCTTTTTGTCCTATCATGAATTTTCCCTTTTGATCTTTGCTCTCCTCCTCTCCCTTTCCCTGACTGTGTACATACTTAAAATGTTAGGGAGTTCTAACTTTTTCTAGTTCTGATAAGTCATCAGTCTAAACTATTAATTCTGTCTCTCTCTCCGCAGATGCTGCTTGATGCAACAAGTGTTTTCAGCATTTTCTGTTTGCAGATGCTGGAAAGCAGAAATACAATGTTCCACTTTTGTTTTGTTACCTCATTTATTTGATTACCAAGTCTATTGCCAGTTGAAAGTTTTGTCCTGATTCCTCTGTCAAAACCCATTATGATTTTAAAATGTTCTCCACTCTCCCATTAACTATTTCTGCTGTAAAGTGAAACAACCTTTATCTTTATCTAGTCTGTCCACATTCCAGGTGTTGTTCCAGTCATTCTCCCTTGTGTCCTTTCAAAGATATGCCCAGAATTGGACCCAGTACGCTGGTTGGGCTTAATCAGTGATGTAGAAAGGTTTAGCATGACTTCTTTATCTTTATTCTCATACCTCTACTATATCCAGCATCCAGTATGATTTTTATAATGGCTTCATCACCCTGTCTGCCACTGTCAAAAATTTGGACATATGAATCCCATTTTTTTTGTTTCAACACCTCCTTTAAAATTGTACCATTTAGTTTATGGACACACATTCTAACTAGTATAAATGGCTTCATACTTCTACATATTAACCTTCATCTGAGATGTATGTTCACTTTCCCAGTCAAGTCTTTCTGTATTTTCCTACTCTGCTCCTCACTGTCTTGCTATCTTTCCAAGTTTTGTGTTCAGCAGGCTTTGAAATCGTTCTCTCCAGGCGTTGAAAGCTCTTTTCTATAAGTCTAAGAAATAGGAGCAGAAGTAGGCTGTTTGGCCTCTTAAGATTGTTCTGTCTTTCATTGAGATAATGGCAATTTGGTTTTGTTTGAAAGTCTAGATTCGCATCTTCCCCTGATTTAGCTTTAATTCCGTTTTCTCACCAGAGTTTATCTACCTCTGTTTAAAAACCTTCAATAGCCTTCGTTCTATTGCTTTCTGAGAAGAAAGTTGCACTAACCAGAGAAAACTTCTCTCATCTCAATCCTAAAGAACGATCCCTAGTCTGGACTCCTCCGTAGGAGGAAACATCCTTTATGTTCACTTTATGAAGACCATTTCAGGGACTTCTATGCTTCAATCAAGCCATCTCACTCCTCCAGCAGACACAGGCCCAGTCTTTTTTTCAATCTATCCTCCTGCAACATACTATATTTATACCTGAAATGAGCAGTAAATCTCCCTGAATGCATTTATATTCTTTCTTAAATAAGTAAACAAAAACT